AGAGCAGCACGTGTGCTTCAGCTTCAACTCGAGTCATCCCTTCAACTCGGAGGCATCCTGCTGCTCTGCCTCCATTCCTTTCCGGTAGCTTTACATCTTTATGCCTTGGATTGCCCTGGTTTTTCTTGTGCTTCCCAGAAGAGATGTGAAATAAGTTCTGTTCAGTCGCTGTGTCAGATCTTCTGGAATTTCACATGCTCAGAGCTCATCGGTAGTACAGCTGCTGCAGACAGCTTTCCGTTTCTGACTGGCTTTTGCAGTCCTTGGTTTTGCTTTTCCTCTGCAGATGATTCCCGTGTGGCTCTTCCTTGTAGCTGTGTTTTGTTTGGTGTAAGGCCATCACTGATTCTTGTAACGGTATGAAAATGCTGACCTGTTCCTGGTCTGAGACTTGAATTTCAAAGGGAAGGGGAAAGTATAGTGCTGCTGGAACCAACAGACTCTAACAGTACTTCAACTGGGAAAACCTGTCATCTTCCATTTGGCCAGTCACCCTTTCTGAGGCTGTGAGTGTCTGTATAGTAATAAAAGGTGGCACATATTGGGCTACCAGAAATATAAGTAAATGTCAAAGGAAGCTGGTGTCTGTAGTGGCAGTGGCAAGTTTGAAATCTTCATTATTGCACGGAGGTTCTTGGATAGCAGCAGAAAACCAAAGCATGGCGGATTTACAGTTCCTTAGTTATCCTGAATGAGTGTCTTTTTATCTAAGGATGCCTTTTCAAAAGCTCTGAATGCAAGATGTTCTGAGTATCGTTAGGTTGCTTCATAATGTACGTGCCAGAAATGATCTCAGTATTTAGCTGTCTTATCAGCTGTTTTCCACTGATGTTTGTTCTTGGCAGCAGGCCCCCCAGTCAAACCTGAGCTGCAGAGGGAATGTGTTACTGCTTCTCAGGTGTCTCAGGGAGAGAAAGGAAACAGCTTTGCCTCCTAAAGTAGAAACGGCTTTGGCTGGTAGAATTCCTCCTAGCAGGTATGTAAGAGTGGAGGGATTTCAGAGCAGTTTCCAAGGGAAATGGTGCTCGTTTTGGAATCGCACTGCTCCAAAGGCACTTCAGTCTCTTGTCGAGTCCAGCTTGAGTGTGTCTTAAGAGTAATGAAGAGTTCTTGTTTGTTTTTTTGCCCAGTTGTTCGCTTCCCTTAATCCCTGTTACTTAGCTGCTCTGAAGCAGTAGGAGCTGTAGGAGCTGTAGGAAAGTTGGAGACTGAGAACTTTCAGTCATGATTTCTCTGTACTGCAGTTGTAATTAGAAATGGAGAAATTTATCAGTTGCTGGGAGGGAGGGAGGGAGGGAGAGAGGGAGGGAGAGGAGGGGGGAAATGCGGCTTTATTGGAGGGAGCGGTTATTCTTAGTGTCCAGCCTTAATGTAGTTTGAAAGTTAGGCTCTCATGGCTTATTTGCTTCCTGTTTTATTAATCGTGCTGACTTATTCTTCCTTCCTTGTACAGATTTACATACTGAGCAACCAGTGAACAGCAGCGGAATTTGTGCAGTCAGCTGCGAGCAGCGAAGAAGCAGAATGCACAGAAACTGCTCACGTATCTCAGGATTTACCAGGAGGTGGTGATGCAGCTTTTTAGGAAGGAGAAGAACTGCAAGCTCAAGCAGAGATGAGTTTAACTGGAAGTAGCCTTATGTAGCTTTGTAAGGCTTAACACAGTTGTTCGTGTCTGGATTTCGTGTTTGACCCTAGCGTGCCTAATAGGATGAGGAGCTTGCAATGACTGTAATCTTCTAGTTTGGCCTCCTGTAAAGAACAGACCTTAATTGCAGGTTAGTGTAATGATTCAGAGCACCAATAAACAGTAGGTGGTGTCCTTTAATTGGAACAGCTGATCTGGTGAAGTCTGCAGAATGTCGTCTTCCTCTTTCTTCAATATCTGTCTGCCTTTCCTCATCTCTTCATCACAGTATGACTTCTGTGGGGTTCTTCTCGCCTTACCTGCTCTTTTTCTCCTTCGGTGTCACTTCTCCCACCAGAAATGCTTGTCTGTCACGCATTTCTGCAGTTCTTCCAAGTTTTTCTGTAGCTTTGGAAGATGTGTCAATTGAAGAATGTTAAAAGCCAGTAATGCGCACGTAGAAAGCGTGGAGGACATGCAGCTGTGAGGCCTCCGTTTATTATTTTCAGTTGATTCTTGTTCTGTCAGATGCCAGCATGAAGTTATTTCACGGTCTTTAAGAGGAGAGCACCTGGGATGCTAACAGTGCTGCGTTATCACTTAGCACATCATTCAGCAGGCCTGAAATTTCGCTGGGGAATTGTGGCCAGCACACTGGATAGCTTAAGAATCAAACAACTTGCTATGCAGCGTGGTGCAGGCAGTGTTGCATTGCTAAAATGAATTTCAAACGCTGGAACTTGTTGGGCTCTTCCATTTGGAGAAGGCAGGGCTTTTCATTCACTTCAGTGCATGATGAGTGTCGAGCTGAGGGTACAAAGCCACTGGAGAAGAATGTGAAGGAATTGTCTTCAAAGAGAGGGCAGAACTTTACAGCTGGGCCAGAGATGCCGCTCAGCGGAAGGAGCTCTTGGAGAGCTGAAGCTCCTCTTCCAGACACAGCAGAAGTATTCCAGGAGCCTCGTGAGAAGGGGCCGAGTTGCTGAGGTGTGTGCAAAGCATGTCATCGCCACAGAAATGAACTCATTGCCCTCTGAGACATCAAACTGCTTGAATTTGGACAGCTACAGGTGATGCTGGTGAGTCGGTTGGGTGGTTTTTACAGTTCTTTCCGGTCTCTCCTGCAGTCGGTTTGGCTTTGTTTTACCCTGGAGATCCTACAGAACAAAAGCTGCTGATCTCTGGCTGCAGTGAGTAGAGCTAAGGAAATCTCTTCTTGGGTTTGTTTTCAGACGGTGAAGTGGAAGTAGAGCGAGTTGCGGTCAGATTAGAAGTTCAAGACCTGGCTGATTCTTTCGAGAGCAGATTGAAGAATGCCAGCAGAGCTTGTCAGAGCTGCAGAAGGGCCAGCTCTCTGTGGCAGCGGAGCTGTCAAAGGACACCGGCCCTGTTGTTGTGTATTTGGACGTTTCTGCCAGCGATGAACCTTCAGGACACACAGCCACGGAGCTGCTTTCACACATTGTCCCTCGGACGGCTGAAAAGCTCAGGGCCCTGTGCACAGGGGAGAAAGGCTCGTGGATTCAGGAGTACCACGTTTCACAGGATAGTTAGTGACTTCCTATGTCAGGTAAGCTTAACGTGAAGGCTTTTCACGGAGAGAAAAAGCCCACCTGGGCTGCAGCACCGCATGGATCCTGCCTGAAAGTGGGCTTTTCCAGTTTTTGACTGTAGTGAGAGTAGCCAAAATCAGCAGGGCTGCTGTCAGCAGCGACGCCTCAAGCTTTCCCGACACTTCTAGAGAGGATCACGTTTGATTCTTGGGGAGCTGTGACTTCATGGGAACGCCACAGCCTGCGTGTGAGACTTCATTTTGTTCGTGCTGTTATCTGCCTGATGGCTCCTCTTTGACAGCTGTTTGATTTGTGGGCTCTTAGAGCCAGCTTTCAGCCTTTGGCAGCAGCAGGAAGCGGAGCTCCCGACGTGTTGTAGGCAGCGTTTGCTCTGCTCAGGGGCCTTGGCTGCAGCGTGTGTGCAGAGAACAGCGTGCGTGTTTGGCATGGCTGTGCAGCAGAGAACAGAAATGGTAGTTTTGTCATTTTTCAGTGCCTCCCAGGACAGCACTCTGTGGTAGATCAGAAATTGGTGTGCGTGTTGGATTTGCTGTTTAGCAGGTGCATTCTCCTGCTGCATCTCTGTGCATCTCTGTATCCTACTGTACTTTGACTGCAGGAGTTTTCTCGCAGTAGGGTCAAGGCCACCCAAACTCAGGTCTGTAGTGCTTTCAGTATGGAGCCCTTTCAAGGCTTGATTAAGACCTGGCAGAGTAGAAGCCAACGCTGTGTGAACGACAATTCAAGAGTGTCCTTTTCTGGAACTGCGCCCACAAATGGTCAGAATTCACTGTAGGATGCTTGTGATTGTTTTGTACTATTAAGTTCTGTCCATGAGAGCTTGTTCTCCCTATTCTGTCAAAAATACTGTTAGGAATTCTTGATGGTACTGTGCTCTCAAGTATGCAAACCTTTTTTTCGTATTAGAGGCACAATTTTTATATCAATGCATCGTAGCAAGCCAGATTTCCTTTCCTCCTTATGGAAAACCAGATGCTTTCAAACATCTTTCCAGTGTCATGAATAAAGGCTCCGTTCTTAAAACCTGTATCCCCTCCGTTGTGTGAAGGCTTGAGCGGGGTGGAAAAGCAGCCAGGCAGCCTGCCTTCTCTTGTAACACTGTTGGGATTTTGGGCTGTGCCATGGGTTCAGTTGCTCGTAGTCAACAGCGATTCCTTGGAACTGTCATTCAGTTCCAGTGTGTTTGTTTTGTCTCGATTAGTTTTGCTTTTCCACGTGCCGCTGCCCACAGGCACAGCCCTGCTGCTCAGAGAGCTGGGAACAATCCCTAACTTGAGGCTGCGCAGCTCTGCCTCGCGAGGTTCCGTCCACCCGTCGCTGGCAGGGTGCAGCCATCAGCCTCCCTGGGCTCTGTGGCAGTCCTGGGCCCTTCACACATCCTGTTTGTTCAAGTTCTTGGTAGCGTACGCCGTGCTGTGCTGTGTCTGATGCTCAGCTGTGAACGATCCTGATCATCTGCTGCAAATGCACTCCTGCGCTGCTGCTGGTGGCTGATCTGAGTGAGCTGGCCAGGCAGTGGCCAACCAGTTCAGGCCCACATTTGCTGTCACGGTGTGTGGTATCGCGCTCTTCTTCCCGTTTCCCAGCAGATCACAGGGCCTTGCAGCAACAGGGTGTTGAGATCCGCGCTCTCTCGCCCGGTGTGGCTCCCTCCTGCACCGGGCACGAGGTCCAGTGGGAACAGCACAAGCATTTTTATCTGCTTGCTTGGGCTTTTTACAGTCCCTTTGTACACGTGGGCCTTCCTGTGCCCAAAGTCAGAAGAAAGGGGGCTTGCTGCTCCATACCCAGAAGAAAGGGGTTGTCCTGGGCCAGGAACCAGAACGAAGGGACTGGCTGGACTAAAACACAGAAGGAACGTGGCGGGCTGGGCAGACAGCCAGAAGGAACGGGGCTTCCTGGGGCAGAATGGAGCAGGAAAGCAGCCTGCTGGGCAGCAAATCCGTCAGGGAGATTCTTGCTGTGCAGAAACTGAGAAGGAAGGGGGCTCACCAGGAAGAAACCCCGATGGCAGAGGGCTTGCTCAGCTCAAAGCCAGAAAGAAGTGGACTTGCTCTACTGAAACAGTGAAGAAGAGAGGCTGGAAAGGTCAAACGCCAGAAGGAATGAGGATTGCTGGGCCCAAAGCCGGAAGGAAAGGTCCTTGCTGGGCTGGAATGAATAGAGAAGGGTTTTGCTGCTCCTGAGCCCAGAAGGAAGAGGGCTTGTAAGACCATACCCAGAAGAAAGGGGGAGTGCTGGGCAACAAACCAGAAGGAAGGGGCTTGCTGGACTCAAACCCAGAAGGAAGGGGCTTGCTGGTCCATACCCAGAAAGAAGTGGGTGTGCTGCGCCACAAAGCAAAAAGAAGGTGCTTGCTGGGTCCTGAACTAGAAGAAAGGGGGCTTGCTGGGCCACAAATGGAGAAGAAGGGGGCTTGCTGGACTTGGTTAGAGTTAGTTTTAGGTTTGGGGCAGTGAAAGCTTAGGTTAGGGTTAGTGTTAGAGTTTGGTGTTAGTGTTGAGTTTTAGGGTTATGCTTGGGGTTAGGGTTTGGGCTAGGGTAGGGTTAGGGTTCGGTTAAGTTTGAGGGTAAGGGTTAGGGTTAGGTTCAGTGCTAGGTTTACATTTAGGGTTAGGATACAGCTGGGGTTAGGATTAAGGTTAGGATTAGGGTTAGTGTTTGTTTTGGGTTAGGGACTGGGTCAGGGTTAGGGTTGATGTTCAGGTTGGGTTAATATTAGTGTGAGGGTTAGTATTTGCAGAAAGGTTTAGAGCAAGGTTTCAGGTTTGCATTAGAGTTAGGGTTGGGGTTAGAGTTTGGGGTTAATTTTGGGTAGTGTTAGGGTTAGGGATTGGGTTTGGTTGAGGGTTAAACTTATGGTAAGATTTAGGGTTGAGCTTAGGGTTAGGGTTTGGAATTAGGTTTAGGATTAATGTTGTGGCTAGGCTTAGAGTAAGGTTTAGAGTCAGGGTTATGTTTAGGGCAGGGTTTGGGTTAAAGTTAGGGTTGTGGGCTAGGGTGTAGTATCCTCTGTACAGATTCCATTGTGATACACGACTGAACCATTTGCCATTTCACATTTAATCCTTAGGGGCACCGAGTCAATGGGGGTTTCACGTGTTCTCATGTTCAATACAGAACCAGCAGTGGCAGCAACGATGTCGAGACGACGACTTTCACAGGCATGAGAAGTAATGGAGATGTGCACAGTTCTTCCAGCCGCTGTGCAAAGAGCGAATCCAAACCAGCGCTCTTCTTTACAAGTCCCTTCATGCTGTGAGGTTTCTGCCAACGGTGGGTGTGCTTACAACAGAGACATGAGGTGAGCTCTGGGTTTTACTGACTCTTTCTGTTATGATTCTACGATTACTTTTGACCTTTTCGTTTTCCTTTTAGTTTTCTTTCATTGTTATTTTGTTCCAGGCGTGTACCTGGACAGAGCCCAGCAGTTCCATGATACCATTGTGTCCGTGATGCTTTCCTAGTGAAGGGAGTTTCACCTGGGTGATACCTCCTTGTACAGCCAAATGCACTGAAACAAAACGAACCTTGCTGTTATTCATTTCATGTGGTCATTTAAGTGGCCATTTTAATACAATGTATTTTAATCAGAGAGATGCCAGTCAGTCAGAGATCCCCCACGACATCCTTACAGCAAAGCTGAGGAAGAGTGGGATGGATGAGTGGACAGTGAGGTGGGTTGAGAACTGGCTGACTGGCAGAGCACAGAGGGTCGTTGGTGGTGCAGAGTCCGGTTGGAGGCCTGTAAGCAGCGCTGTTCCTCAGGGGTCTGTGCTGGGTCCGGTCTTGTTCAACATCTTCATCAATGACCTTGATGAGGGGATAATGGCCACCCTCAGCAAGTTTGTGATGATACGAAGCTGGGAGGATTGGCTGACAGCCTGAAGGCCGTGCTGCCATTCAGCAAGACCTGGACAGGCTGGAGAGCTGGGCTGAAGCCAATGGGATGAGGTTCAACAAGGCCAAATGCCGGGTCCTGCACTTCGGCCACAACAACCCCAGGCGACGCTGCAGGCTTGGGGCGGTGTGGCTGGAGGACTGCGTAGAGGAAATGGACCTGGGGGTATTGATGGATGCTGGGCTGAACAGGAGCCAGCAGTGTGCCCAGGTGGCCAAGAAGGCCAAGGGCAGCCTGGCTTGCATCAGAAACAGTGCAGCCAGCAGGAGCAGAGAGGTGATTGTGCCCTGTGCTCAGCACTGGTGAGGCCGCACCTCGAGTGCTGTGTCCAGTTTTGGGCCCCTCACTGCAAGAAAGACATGGAGGCCCTGGAACGTGTTCAAAGGAGGGCAACAAAGCTGGTGAGGGGTCTGGAACACAGGGCTGCTGAGGAGAGGCTGAAGGAGTTGGGAATGTTCAGCCTGGAGAAGAGGAGCTCAGGGCAGAGCTCACTGCTCTCTATGACTGCCTGAAGGGAGGCTGTAGTGAGCTGGGGGTCGGCCTCTGCTCTCGTGCCATCAGTGATAGGAGCAGAGGGAATGGTTTCAAGCTGCGGCAGGGGAGATTCAGGCTGGACATGAGGAAGTGTTACTGTTCAGAAAGGGTGGTCAGGCAGTGGAATGGATGCCCAGGGAGGTGGTGGAGTCACCGAGCCTGGAGGTGTTCAAGGAAAGGCTGGATGTTGTGTTGAGGGACGTGGTTCAGTGGGAGCTGTTGGTAATGGGTGGACGGTTGGACTGGGTGATCTTTTAGGTCTTTTCCAACCTTGGTGATTCTATGATTCTATGATCTCACACTGCAGGGGGAACTTTGCAGACAGATGTCACTACAGCATTCTGGCCCCATAGCCCCTATGGCCCCATAACCACAACAACCCCATCTCATAGCAATCCCATCCCATATCCATCATATCCACCCCATAACCATCTTGATTCCATCCCATATCTATACCCCCCCATCCTATCCCCATCTTCTATCCCATATCCATCCTAAATCCATATCCCCACATGCATTCCATACATTATCATACAATCAATGAGCACACAGATGACACAGCATACCCGAGAGCTCAGCTTATGCAGTTATACCAGAACAGAAAAGAAGGACACTCACCTACCTTAGGCTCATGCGGTAAACTCCAGTGGAGCGGATCACCAGAACGGATCCTTCTCCCCTGGCAGTCAGCTCTTAAATGGGTCTCGGAGGGGTGCAGCCAGGCTCCACCACTCCCAGCAGCGCAGATGAATTGCCTTCACCTGTGCTCCCATGGCTGACTCAGGGCCGGCCTCAGGTGCCCGGTCAGAGGTTCAGGCTGTGGTTCAGCAGTCCCCGTACACTTATCCAGCCCATTATCACCCCGGCCCCATATTCTTCCCCAGTCCATCCCACACTCTTCCCCTGTTGATCCCACATCCATCCCAACCTAATCCCATACCCAGGGCCCATCCCATATATACTCCAATTTCCGATCTCCCATTCCATAACCATCCCATATCCCACATCCCGATCCTAAATTTCGCATCCTAATCCCACATCCCATCCCCATCTCCCACCTGTCAATCCCAATCCCATCTCCCACCCCCTATAGCAATAGGGCGCACACCGAAGTCCCGCCCCGTGCCAGTGCTCCTCCTATCAACGGCCCCGCACCTCCCCGCCCCCGGGCTCTCATTGGTCCGGTGCAGCTCTGTCCTGCCTCCGGGCTCCCATTGGTCAGTGGCGGCGCCGCCGGCTCCCGTTGGCTGAGGCGCGGCGCGCGGGAACGGCCGTTAGCAGCCGGGTCGGATCCGCCCCGCCTTCCCCTCAGGCGCTGCTACTCCCGCAGCCCGGGTCGCCCCGCGCGACGCCGCTGCTGTGCGCCGGAGCTGCCCGGAAGCACCGAGATGGAACCGCGGCACGAGAGCCGCGGTGCTGAGGACAGAGGCGCCGGAGCTGGGGGAACGGCGAGCGGCACCGGGACAGGGGACGCCTGGGCAGCCGTAACCTGGCTTCATGCGGGGTGAGGGGCTGGGAGTGGGACTGGGATGCGGATGCAGACAGGACGGGATGTGGGGAAGTGGGATAAATACGGGACGGGCTGTGAATATGGGGTGGATATGAGGCGATAGGGAGCTGTGGGAGAGAGGTAGGGGGATAATGGGGAAATAGAGGGGGGAGAGGGAGCTGTGGAGAGCTGGGGAGGGATATGGGGGAGTGGGGGCTACAGAAAGCTGTGAGGTATAGGGAGGCGTGTGGATGTATCGTGGGCTGTGGTGGGGAATTGGGGGATATGGGGGATTTGGGGCAATAGGGGACTGTGAGGATGTTATGGGGAAACAGTGCTATGGGGAGCACGGGGGGGTTGGGAGGGGCTGTGGGGGGCTGAATGGGGGTGTAAGGTGGGCTATGGAGGGATGTGGGGCTACAGGGTCCAGATATCATCCACTCTTTGCTGGATGAGGCTGGGAATGTGAGCACTGAGGATAAGGAAAAGGCGGAGGTTCTGAATGCCTTCTTTACGTCTGTCTCTAAAAGTCAGACCAGTTACCCTCAGGATGCTCCTCTCTCTGACCTGGTAATCTCGGCTGGGGAGCACACGAACCCCCCTGTGATTCTGGAGGAAACAGTCAGAGACCTCCTGCTCCAACTGGGCTGCCACAAGGCGATGGGGCCAGATGGGATCCACCCGAGAGTGCTGAGGGAACTGGCGGAGGTGAGAGCCGAGCCGCTTTCCATCATCTGTCAGCACTCCTTGTTGACTGGTGAGGTCCCAGAAGACTGGAGGCTTGCCGATGTGACTCCATTTATAAGAAAGGTCGTAAGGAGGATCCGGGGAACTACAGGCCTGTCAGCCTGACCTCGGTGCCAGGGAAGGTGATGGAGCAGATCACATGGCATGTGCAGGATGAGCGGGGGATCAGGCCTAGCCAGCATGGGTTCGTGAAGGGCAGCTCCTGTTTGACCAACCTGATCTCCTTCTATGATCTGTGACCCGTCTGGTGGATGAGGGAAAGGCTGTTGATGTGCTCTACCTAGACTTCAGCAAAGCCTTTGGCACTGTCTCCCACAGCATTCTCCTGCAGAAGCTGGCAGCCCGAGGCTTGGATGGCTGCTCTCTGGGCTGGGTGAGGAGCTGGCTGGAGGGCCGGGCTCAGAGAGTGGTGGTGAATGGAGTGAAATCCAGCTGGCGACCGGTCGTGAGCGGTGTTCCCCAGGGGTCGGTGCTGGGCCTGTCCTCTTCAGTATCTTGATTGATGACCTGGATGAGGGCATTGAGTGCACCCTCAGTACATTCGAAGATGACACCAATTGGCTGGAAGTGTGGATCTGCCTGGGGGTAGCGAGGCCCTGGAACGTGTTCAAAGGAGGGCAACAAAGCTGGTGAGGGGTCTGGAACACAGGGCTGCTGAGGAGAGGCTGAAGGAGCTGGGAATGTTCAGCCTGGAGGAGCTCAGGGCAGAGCTCACTGCTCTCTATGACTGCCTGAAGGGAGGCTGTAGTGAGCTGGAGGTCGGCCTCTGCTCTCGTGTCATCAGTGATAGGAGCAGAGGGAATGGTTTCAAGCTGCGGCAGGGGAGATTCAGGCTGGACATGAGGAAGTGTTACTGTTCAGAAAGGGTGGTCAGGCAGTGGAATGGATGCCCAGGGAGGTGGTGGAGTCACCGAGCCTGGGGGTGTTCAAGGAAAGGCTGGATGTTGTGTTGAGGGACGTGGTTCAGTGGGAGCTGTTGGTAATGGGTGGACGGTTGGACTGGATGAGCTTTTAGGTCTTTTCCAACCTTGGTGATTCCATGATTCTATATAGGTCCAAATACAGGGACTATAGGGAGTTATAACGGGAGATGGGGCAATATTGGTGGGATGTGGGGTTACAGGAAGGTTGTGAAGTGATACAGGGTGATAGTGGACTACAGGGGTCTGGGGAGAGCTATGGGGAGGGTTATAAAGGGCTGGGAGGAGGAAAAAAGAGAGTATGGTTCAATAAACATAGGTGGAATAGAAGGGGACTTGGGGCTGCAGGGAGATGGCTGTAGGTGTGATATGGAGAAAGAGGTGCGACAGGGGGCTGCGGAGGGGTGCTGTATGGGAACTGCTGAGTCGCGGCCTGAGCCTCTGACTGCCCACCTGAGGCGAGCACCGAGTCAGCCCTGTAAGCACAGATGAAGGCAGTGCTCCTGTGCTGCCGGAAGGGGAGCCTGGCTGCACCTCTCCCAGACCCATTTAAGAGCTGACTGCTGGTGGGGAAGGATCTCTTGTGGAGATTGCTCCTCTTGGAGTCTGCTCAGTGAGTCCAGGACAAGGGCAAGCTTCCCATCCATTCTTCTTCGGTGTGGTAGCTTGTTTAGCCTGACTTTACTCTATATTTCTTAATTATAACAACTGTATATTCATTGATTTTACAGATATAAAGAGATATAAGCATATAAAAGGCTGTGGGGGAGCTACAGAGTACTTGCATAGGCTATAGGGAAATACAGGGTAATATGGGGCTACGGGGGCGCTATAGGGTAATGCAAGGAGAAAAGGACCCTGGAGAGGAGCAGATAACAAGAAGATGGAAGGGATAAAAGGGGGTCAGTAGGTGGATGTAATGTGACTTCAGTGGGCTGGGAAGTAAACAAAGGAAACAAAACAAAAGAGGAAAAAAAAGAAAAGGAAAGGGAAAGGAAAGGGAAAGGAAAGGAAACATACTAAAAAATGAGAAAAAACACAAGCAAAAAGAGCAAGGTTCAAATAATGAAAAAGCACGGCTCATTTTGCGTGAGTTGCCAGGTGCTGCTGTGGTAATGGGTGTTGATGAGCCAGCCTTCGTGGCAGGGCTGTGGCTTTATTTTATGTCAGAATTTGAGGCCTACGATTTTCCCACTGTGAGTGCCTGTTTTAAATGATAACAAGTGATCTGAAGATTAGCTTCCCTCCTTGGATCAGAATCACGTATTGACTTTTGATATTTGTCTTTCTATTCCTGTAGCAACTGGGGTGTGGATGCTGCTGCACGTATCTCCCATTTTGCCCTTCTGCTTTGTGTGAAAGAATAGCAAAACATGCCATCTCTGTGTGCAATTTCTGAAGTAAGTAAAGTGAAATACTTCCAAGTCAGTAAAATACTTCAAGGTTCCCTAAACTTTGGGTCTGGGAGGTGACCACTCCTTTGTCTATGATGCAAGCACAGCGGTGATGCAGGCACTTGCTGAGGTCACAGTGGCTGCCGGGCTGGGAGCGTTTGTGCCCCAGCTGGGAGCAGAGCTGGTGCTCTAGTGAGCGTGGTGCACACTGAGACCGAGCTCTGTGCTGTCATGGAGAGATCTTCCTGTGAGAGCCCACTGGAAGCAGCGCTGCGGCGTGTGTGAGAGCTGGGCACAGCTCCGGCTGAGCAGTGGCCAGGTGAGCTGGGGTTGGTGCTGGGTGTCTCAGCAGGAAAGCTGGGCTGGGGTGGGCAGCTGCGTCAGCCCTTGTCCAGGCTGGCGCTGAGACAAAAGGAGTTTTCTTCACGACAGCAACACCAGCCGTGTGCTTCAAGGTGCAAAACTATGGAGGAGATGGAGAAGAACGCTTGCTGTCAGAACTCATGGCAGCTGCACGGGAGCTGGGTGTATTTGGGAGACAGTTCTCATTAGTAGTTGGTTTGGAGTATTGCCCTGCCCGATAGCTTAAACTGCATAGCAGAGGAAAGCTGGGAAAATGCTTTTTCCTGTTTTTCACTTGCAGGTTCTTTCTTCAGGGTTGGTTTACAAAAGGAGGTGTTGGGGACTGAGGCAGTTGAAGAGTGAAGCCAGCTCTTTCCACCAGCGGGGGGTCAGTCCCTGTGGAGAGGACCCCAGGAACGTGAGCTTCCTCTGAGACGTTCCCCACATGTCCCAGCAGGGACACAGACGCGGTTCCCATTCCTGCTTTGCGCGTGGAAAGGTATGGCTGGGTTTCTCTAACTTGGGTTTTCTTCCTTTCTCTGGTTTTGGAGGGGAAGGGGTGGAGCAGGGGGAGCCCTGCTGGTCCTTAGGGAGCTCAGTAACCAGTGGGCTTGTGCGGTGCAGCACAAGGACAGCATGGCCAGGCTCCTTCACCTGGTGGGGCAGGGTGGGAGCTGAGAGCGGGCGCTGCCCTCCTGCCATCTGTACCTGGTTATGGTTTGCCACGTTTGCTCTGGTTTCTGCTGAGAAGTTTGTTCTAGCTGCCTGCAGCAGGACAGGGTGGGGAAGGAATGATGGTGCAGAGCTAAGGCTGCGCACGGTAATTTTGCACGGGTTGAACTGTGGCACCTGAAGACCCTGTTTCCCTTGGAAGAATGCTGGTGTTTGCAGGTGTGTTGGTGCAAGCCCTGCAGTGCTGTCTGAGAGCGCCTGTCTGCTGCACCTGAGCGATAAGAAAGCTGGATATGCCCAGCAATTGCAGCTTGTGCAGATGTTGTGAATGCGCTCCCAATGTTTCCTTCAGTGAGAACTCAGCGCTCTCTGGCAGATCTGGAACACTGCATCTCTTTGCAAACGTTGGTGCCTGTATCCATGGCCCTCCTTTTTTCTCTCCTCAGAAGCAGCGCCGTGCTGTTCCCCATGCTAGGGAGCAGCAGCCAGCAGGCTGCCCCAGTGCCAGCTGGGCCTTGCAGCGCGCAGAGGGACGCGATGGGGATGGAGCATCCTTAGCACCATGCACAAGTGAGTCTCTTCAGTCCTCTGTCATGAAGGATGGAAGAATGAGTATTACTTGTGAGTTGGTGCAGTGCTGTAGGGATGTCCAGTAGCCATTGTGGAAGCATTGGGGAGGCTGACAGTGACAGCTGATGGCAGCAGTAAGACAGAAGTCTGTGTGTAAGTGGTGGCGCTCAGAGCTGAATGAATTCCCTGTAGAGACCAAAAAATCCATGTCTCAACTTGTGCAGCGTTTTGTAGCGTTTTGTTTGCTGAAGCAGCTTTGCTCTGCAGAATGCAGAGCTGTCAGGCAGCCCTGGGTTCCTCTGCTGCCACCTGAGCAGGAGTGAGAGCAGTAATGCTTTGTGTAAGCGCACTGCAGTTTAACCATCAGCTTCTGTTCTGGCTGTAGAACAGTGTCTTTTGGTTTTGGGGGTGGATGTGGGCTAACAGGACAGCGCTGCTCCTGGGAAACCAACACTCCATCTGTTGTTGTAGGGACGGAGCCTGCGCGTCCATGGAATGGTGCTGGGCATGGGGGGAAACGGAAAGCCTCCCCAGGTAAGAAGCTCTTGTGAGCTGTGGTGTGGGTACTGCCTGTAAACAGGGCTGCGTGAAGGGGCGTGTGATGGAGGAGAGGGGAAAGGGCCCTGCAGATGTCTGCTGACTGCAGAAATGGCGGACCATTGGAGCAGCAGAAGGGCAGATTGAAGAAACGACGCTTGAGGAGCAGAAGTTTGTGGTTGGCTGTGCTAAAATGTTCCTGCACAGAGATGCTCTTCATGTCTGTCTCGTTTCCTTTCTGTCAGGAGCTGATGACAACAGGCTTGCAGGGAGGCAGGGGAGGAGCAAGGAGAGTGGCCCAGCACCCAAGAGAGGTAGGACACACAGCAGGCATCTGGGTTTGGTGCCCTGTCTTTCTAGTTAGGCTTTCTGTCTGCCCTTTCCTGGGACTGTTGTCATTGCATGTTGCTTGAGGTCTTAATCCCTGGGGATTCCAATTACCTTTCCTGTCCCAATTGCCAATGCAAGCCCACAGTTCAGCCAAGATCCTAAGGTGCATTGCTGTGAACACTGGAGATGAGATTTCCTAGTATCGTGGCCTGTTTTGCAGACTGAAGGTAGTGCTGGACTCATTACATGTTGCTGCTTCCTCTTTCTTGTTTCTAACAGGGAGAGGTGCTGAGCCAAATGGCGAAAGCTACGTGCAAACTCCTCTCCAGGCTGGAGGGCTTCCTGAAGCAGCAGGTCCCAGCAGAGGGGGAACAGCTGCTCCTGCAGTTGCCAACTGCTCCTTCTCCAAGATCGTGGTCGCAAGAAAGCGCAAGGGAGTGGAAGAGGAGGAGCAGGAGGCAGAGCTGGGTCCTGCCAACAAACAAGTGAAAGTGGAGCACAATGGGGAGAAGGCTCAGAGCCCTCATCAGAGCAGAGGTGCTGTGCCAGCTCCATCAGCACAGCCTGGGCCTGCCCCAGTGCCGACCGAGAGGTTCCGGACCTCAAAGCGAAGAGGTAAGAAGATGCTGCAGCTGCCCTGCTGAGGTGCTTCCCTTGTCAAGCACGTGGAGTTTGCTTGGGGTTTGCTTTGCTTTTTCTTCCCTTCTGCAGGGAGGGGCAAAGAGGAGAAGGCTACCAAGTCCAAAGGATGTGCCAGAATGTGTCATCCTATCTTTTCCCATGAAGCCCACGATGGCCCTCTGCTCGTCCCACTGCAAATACCCGTTCCTGAGAGATTTCCCAGGCTGTTGTCGTGGTACCCGTGTTTCCGTGGTTTTGCTATTGACAAACTGAATTTCTCTTCTCTTGCTCTCTAGAAAGACGACGACGACAGAAGGAAAGGAGAGCAGAAATGAAGAAGGCTGCTCTCAGAGCTGCTGGTGCACATGCAGAGGTGAGTCCTTGGCGAGCACAGACACGGCTCTTGTTCTCTGTCTGTCAGACATGAAGGGGGTTGTGGAATACTGGGGGAAGCGGTGTGCTGCTTTGACACTTGCCTTGTTTCTTTCCAGTTCTCCACCATGAACAGCCTTGTGGAGATGATGGAGAAGCTGCAGCTGAAGGACTGAGCGGAGGAGCATCAGCAGGCAGCGGCTTTGTGGCAGCAGCCCAACTTGGCGCTCTGGGTTCAATCCATCAATAAACAATTGGAGTTTTGCATTCACAAGGAGCGCATGGCCTGATTTGTCCAGCGGCACCCAGTGAGCTGCTGCTCCACCTCCTGGTTATCCCACCACCTCCTCGTTATCCCACCACCTCCTCGTTATCCCACCACCTCCTGGTTATTGCTCCACCTCCTGGTTATTGCTCCACCTCCTCGTTATTCCACCACCTCCTCGTTATTCCACCACCTCCTCGTTATCCCACCACCTCCTCGTTGTTCCTCTCGCGGCGCTGGGTCAGAACTGCCACAGCTCCATCAGGGAATGCTGCAGGGTACAGAAGCAATGGACGCACCAATCCTGGGCCCTGCCCACAGACGCACTGTCTGAGCAGTTAGAGAGCAGCTCCATAGAGCCGTCTGACTTTCTCGGGGCAGCACTGAGCAAAGTGAGCGTGTGCCCCTCAGCCTGCAGGCGTCTCTGCTGGGGGAAGAGAGGCTCCGCTGGCCGCCTGATCCCGGAAGGCAGAGCTGTTCTCCTGACTTCTCTGCAGTGCTGCCTTCCTTCATCGTCCCCCCTTTCTTCAGATATTTTGATGCTACTTTTCACCCTTTGGGGCGGAGCTTGAGTGACTCTCATCATTGCAGAGCTTTGTACTGAGCGGAGTGGAGTTTTCTGGCTTTGTTTCTACAAGCCTAGGCTGAAAACCGCAGCGTGCGTGCGAGATGGGAGTCCTAGCACTCTGGAAGTGGATAAGTGTTGGGATGGAGCTGCTTTTGGTTTTCTAATGAGTGCATAAGGAGCAAAGTTTGCTGACAGGATGGTGTTTGCTCAACTAATGACTAGGAGCGATGTGCAGAGGAAGATGGCAGTTGGCAGATGGTGCGTGGCCAGAGCTGCTGTTTCTGTCCTGCAGCCGGGAATGCTCCACGCCGAGGGGTGCGGGCTGTGAGAGGAACCTGTCTGTGGAAGCGTGGCCGTTCCTCCCGTCTGATGGGGCAGAAGGCAGGGACAGGAGAGGAAAGCTGAACAGATGTGCATTTTCGTCACGGCTCTTCCTGTGTGGGAAATGAGCTGTGCCACTGTGCTTCTTTGTGCTGGCTAGTTCTGGAGCTGTGCCTTCGACTTGATGCTCAGCTGTTCCTGTGTGCAATGCTCCACACTCGGACCCTGCAGAGCCCAGAGGCCTCCTTGGCTGCTGTCACTCACCTGGAGCTTGCAGGGTGCTGTGCGTGCTGGATGTAGCTGCTTCCAGCTGTCATTTGCAAGGCCCTGTAAGTGCGCTGGGTTCCAACAGCAGTCAGATGACACAGATGAGAAAGAAGCAGGAAAACTTTTATGTATTTATTTTTACATCACAGGCTTTGATCTCCAGCCAAGCGTGTTGTGCTGTGGAGAGCAGTGGAAGCCGTTCAGTTGCATGACCAAGGGGTGCAGCCTGGTTCCCCCCTCCCTAAGGGGGAGGCTCATGGAAGGGCTGGCTGCCTGCAGGGAAGGAGCTCTGCTTTTTTGTGCGCCCTGTTGCTCAGAATGGGGTCAGCAGTTCTGTGGAGATTTCCTGGGTTGAGTCCTTTGTGTTTCTCGGGTAACTTAAAGCTGTGTCTGCTCTTGCCTCTGTTTGCAGCTGCCGCGCCTCTGGCCTTGGCCCCCACAGAAGCCCCTCCTGGTTGTCAGTGGCAGCTGTTAGCTGTGCAGTGCCAGCAGTCTGTGGAAACGGCAGCACTTGGGAGGATGACACAGTTTGCCTGATTTTATGCTTTCTGGATGCGGTCAGGTGAGAAAGCGCTGTGCTTGGTGGCACAAATTCCTTGGCCAAAGGACGCTTTGGAGCAGAGGTTTGCTGTCAGGAGGCCTGAAAGCATGGAAGGAAATGCTGCTGTGCACTGGGCCCAGAGACATCAGCTCCCAGCACGTCAGGGACTGCGGACGCCTGCAGCCTCTGTGTCTGTCGGGGATTGCTCCAAGGGCTCTGCAGGCAGCTGTCCGTGGCTGTTTTGCTTTGTGAGGGCATGGGCACAGCTGACAACACACTGATGGTGTCCTGCTGGGAAATGGATGCGCTGGATGGCAGAGGAGGATTCTGAGCCCAGTATGGGATCATCTTTGTTCCTTCGTGAAGGTGAGTGTTTAAAAGTGAGACACTTGAAGCTGCATTTGCAGGGTGCCTGGAAGGAGGTGACTCTCGCTTGATAGCAGTTGGGTATTTCAGAGCAGCTGAGATTAAGGGGACGTCACAAATCATGTTCTGAGAATGTTCCTGACCGTTCTTACTTGTTCAATTGTCTACAAGAATGCAAGCAATGCAAAAAAGCAAAAGCAGAACAAGCACGGCATGTCCTGCAAAGAATCCAGCTTTCACAGAGACTGACAGTTCCTAACGTTCCTTTTTCTTCTTCTGTCAGTGACTGAATTTGCTCTCACCTCTTCTCTCTGCACGTGACTTCCCACTTCTTCTATCTTTAGTTCTTCTTGGGTTGAACTTCTCTCTTGTCTGTTTCTCCTCCTTTCTACCTTTGCAATCCCTTCCCTCCCTTCTCTTTTCTGTCTTTTCTAACTTCTCCTCTCTGCTGCCTTCCTCCCTATTCTTTTTTCCTGTCCTTTTCTTTCTTTTCTCTGCACCGTTATTTCTCCTCTTCCTCCTCCTGCACTTCCTGCTCCTCTGTTCCCTCCTCTCAGTTCTCCCCTGCCTGTTCCTGCTCTTTTCCTCTTCTCCTCCTCACTCCTCTGCCCTGTTTCTGCATTATTTCATCCTCCTGCAGCAGCGGCTCATCTGCTCTGCACTTCTCTCTCTGTGCTGTCCTCTGCTCTTTGAGTAATTCTTCCCTCTGTCCTTGCTCCTCTTCAGCTGGCTATTAATTCTCCACATCATGGCTCCTATTGTGCTATTTTTTCTTCTCCATATTCTCCCTCTTCCTTCATCTGCACTCCTCTTCTGCCGTTCGTTGTTTCTCTCTATCCTCTCTCCTCTTTCTTCTGCATTCTTCCTCTGCTTCTCCACTTCTTCATTCCCTGCCTCCTCGCTCCTCTTTCCTCTGCATCAACACTGCTCTTCTGTTGTACTTTTGTCCTTTTTCCGTACTTCTCGTTCTTCTGTAGCTGCACTCCCCTTCAGCTGTTCTTGTTTCATTCTGTCCTCACTCCATTCTTCTGCATCTCCCCACGTCTTCTGATCTTCTTTACAGTCTCCTCACTTGTTTTGCATCTGCATCTGCACTCTTCTCCCATTCCTTTTTCTGTGCTTCCTCCCTGTTCTTTCTTCTGCATCTGAACTCCTCTTCTGCTATTCTTTCTTCCTGCTAATCTTTCTTCCCTGTATAATCATTCCTTTTTCTTCTGCATCTGTCTCTGCACTCTGCTCCTGTTTTCTTCTCTTTTCTCTCTTTCTCCATTTGCACTCTTCTGCTGCTTTTTTTCCCCTGCCTTTTCTCTCTGTCACTTGCATCTGCACTACTCTTCTGCTGTCCTTTCTTCCCTCTATCCTCACTTGTGCATCTGCACTCTCCTAAGGCTGATCCTTCTGCCTTGTATTCTCCCTGCTCTTTCCTCTGCATTCTCACTCTCCTGTTTGTTTTTTGTTTCCCTTGCATCCTCCCTCCTCTTCTGCTGTTCTTTCTTCCTTGTTTCCTCGCTCCTCTTCTGCATATGCACTCCACATGTGCTGTTCATTCTTCTCTGTATCCTCACTGCTTTGTATTCTGCATCTGCTCTCCTCTTCTGCTGTTCTTTCCTTCCCTGTATCCTCACGCATCTTCCTTCTCTGTTTGCTCTCCCCTTTGCTGGAGGCTGTTCTTTCCTCCTTTAATCCTCACTCTTTCATTTGCTGCTCTACTCCTCCTGTTCTGTCTTCTATTTATCCTCACTCATTTGATTCTTCTGCATTCACGCTCCCTTTCTGCAGTTCTTCCTTCCCCGAATCCTCAGTCCTCTTTCTTTTGCTGCTTCTTTTCCACTTTCTCTCTGCTCTTTACTCTGCATCTGCAGTCATCATTTTCTCCTACTTCTTCCCTGTCTTCTCTCCTGTCTTCTCCATCTGCACTCTTTTTCTGCTTTCCTTTCTTCCCCCCTTCCTCTTTCTTCTGCATCTGAACCCCATTTCTGCTCTTCCTTCCTTCTCTCTCTCCACTCTCCTCTTTCTTCTGCGTCTGTTCTCTTCTGCTGTCCTTTCTCCCCTGTAACCTCACTTCTCCTTTTTCTGCAGCACACTCATCATCTTTCATCCCTGTCTTCTCACTTCTCATCCACCTGCAGCTGCAGTCCTCTTCTGCTCTCCTTTCCTCCTTGTATCCTCACTTGCCTTTTGTTCTGCACCTGCACTCCCCTTCTGCTTGGCTTTCTTTATCCTATCCTCTCTCCCGTTTTGTCTGCATCTGCCCACCACTGCTGATCTTTCTTACTGCTTCTCCTCGCTGCTCTTTCACCTGCATCTTCCCTCCTCTTCTGCTGTTTATTGTTCTGCCCTCGCTCCTCTTTCTTCTCCACCCGCATTTCTCTCCTGCTGTTTTTCCCCTGCCTCCTCACTCCTTTGTTGTCTACATCAGCTTTACACTCCTGCTTTTCTTTCTCCCCTGTATCCTCGCTGCTCTTTTATCTGCATCCCTCCTCTTCTGCTGTTTTTCCCCAGTATCCTCGCTCCTCTTTCTGCTTCTGCTGTTCTGTTCCTTGCTTCCTCGCTCTTTGCATGTGCACTCCCCATCTGCTGTTCGTTCTTCTGTATCCACAATATTCTTCCTTGTACACTTGCACTCCTACTGTTGTTCTTCCCCATCCCCTTACTGCTCACTGCTGTGTCAGCTTTACTGTTCTGCTCTTTCTTTCCTCTCTTCTTTTCTTTTGCATATGCACTCCAGTTCTTCTTTCTTCCCCATATCCTCTCTGCTCCTTCACTTGTATCTGAACACCTGTCCAGCTATTCTTTCTTCTCTGTTTAGTCATTCCTTTTTCTGCTGCATCTCTTCTGCTGTTCAGTCTTCTGTCTATCCTCATTGCTCTTTTGTTTGTATCCACACTCTTCTTCTGCTCTTTCTTCCTTGTGTCCTTTCTTCCTTTTCCCCTGCATTTTCTCTCCTCTTCTGCTGTTCTTTCTTCCCTGTATCCTCACTCCTCTTCCTTCTGCATAATTAAACTCCTCTCTTGGTCGTCTTTCTTTGTCTCCTCACTGCTTTGTTCTGTATCTGCACTCCTCCTTTTCTGTCTTCTATCAGTTCTCACTCCGCTTTGTTCTGCATCTGCCCTCCACTTTTCTTGG